AACCAACTAAACAATGAGGTCAAAAGTTGGAGTAAACCATAAAAAAGTAAAAGGGAAGAAAAATGTATGATTGTATACTTTCATGAAAATTTTTCCTGACACCCCAATACTATACTGCAAGGAATATACAACAACTTAAAAATACAAATAAAGCTGGGCATGGTGGTGCATGCCTTTGATCCCAGCACTTGGGAGGCAGAGATAGGAGGATCCCTGTGAGTTCCAGGCCAGCCTGATCTACAAAATCAGTTCCTGGACAGCCAAGGCTACATAGTGAAACCTTGTCTTGAAAAAAAAAAAAAAAAAGAAAGAAAAGAAAAGAAACAAACAAACAAAAAAACTGTGTGAAAGTTAATGACACTGAAAATAACAGAACAGTGAAGAGATGCCTCAGTGGTTAAGGATGTGTGTGGTTCTTCCAGAGGACCAGGTTTAATTCCCAGCACCCACATGGTGATTCTCAACCATTGACAACATCACAACCATCCGAGGCACCAGATGCCCTCTTCTAACCTCTGAGCATGCATACAGGGAAAATACACATAAAATGAGTAAATAAAATAAAAAAAAACATTAAAACAATAACAAAAACATGAAAATGAAAAAATTCATTTCAACTTCTGGATGAATAAATCAGAAAAAGAAAATCAAAATAAACTATGCTAGGAACAAAAAATGGAGGCAAAACTATAGATGAAAATATTTTGAGGAGTGGAGGGCCTTGGTCCTGCCTCAAATGATGTGACAGACTTGATGATTTCCCATGAGAGGCCTCACCCTCTCTGAGAGTGGATGGGGATGGGGTGGGGAGAGGGTGGGGCCGTGGAAGGAAGGGAGCAAGGGGCAACTGGGATTGGTATATGAAATAAGATTGTTTTAAAAATAATAGAAATTTCTATAAAACAAAAAAATTAAAAAAAAATTTTTGAAGAATAAAACTCAGTGTACATATTGGAATACTATATGGGTTTTTGTTCTTGTTTTTGAGATGGGATTCCCTATGTAATCCAAGCTAAACTTACCTCTTGGAGCAATAAGATTCTAGGTATATGACATCATACCCAGCTACCTTTTTTTTTCCAGCTACTTTTTAAAAAAGAAGTTGACATATATGTTTGAAGACAGTAAACGTAGAGAAATACAAATTATGGAAGTCCCAGGAATATGTCAAAAATGGTAGATGTTTTCAAATGTTTAAAACAAAAGTAATCATTTTGGGAACACAAATGATGCACAGAACTTTGAGTGAGAAAGTCATTCTTGGGCTGGAGAGATGGCTCAGCAGTTAAAGGGAAGGCTCACAACCAAAAATATAAGAGAAAGCCATTCATTTTTTTAAAGATTTATTTATTATGTATATAGTGTTCTGCCTGCATATATGCTTCCACACCAGAAGAGGCACCAGATCTCATTACAGATGGTTGTGAGCCACCATGTAGTTGCTGGGAATTGAACTCAGGACCTCTGGAAGCACAGCCAGTGCTCTTAACCTCTGAGCCATCTCTCCAGCCCAAGAAAGTCATTCTGGTCAGAAACGAGAGTGAAATGAGGAAAGGTGCAAAACATTTCAACAGTGACTTGTGGGTGGGCCAGCGAGATGGCGAGGCAGGGAGAGGTGCTTGCCACCAAGCCAATGTGGGAGTCTGGAATCTATACAGCAGAAGGAGAGAAATGGCTCCAGCAAGTTGTCCTCTGACTACACACAGGCCATGGCACATGTGCATGCGTGCACAGGTGTGCGCACGTGTGTGTGTGTGTGTGTGTGTGTGTGTGTGTGCGCACACACACACACACACACACACACACTTAAAAATGCAAAAGATAATTTCTTTTTAAAGAAACAGGAACATGTGTATATGTTAATGCCCATTTGGAGGTCCATGTACATTTTCATGGGGCATGTTAAAGAAAATTACAAATTAAATTCAGCCCATGCTTGAAGATTCCATCTTCTCAATTCAATTTACTTATACTGGAGAATATTTGAGGGACAGAGTCTGTAATGAACATGTCTAGATTTCTCTCTGTTTTATCCCCTAAACAATAAAAATGTCACTTGCACCACATTTCTGTTCTATTAGACACAACTATTGAGAAATGATTTCAAGTATGACAAAACGTGCCATTTGGTTATATGCAAATACTGTGCTGTTAAATATAAAGGACATGCGCATCCTCAGATCTGGCTTTCCTTAGAGATCCTGAAACCACTCACTTTTGGACATTCAAGGGCACATGTATGTGGAATATTCATTTGATTTTGTTTTAGACAAGGGCTTTCTATGAAGCTCATGCTGGGCTAGAACATGCAATTTTCCTGCTTGTGTGTCTCTGGTGCTGGGATTACAGGTGTGCAACACCATGCCTGGCTTGGAATCACATTCAGTATTCCTGGCTCTCTTAAAGCAATGGTTGACAAAATGCATTCACTCTCATACACAGCCCCCAAGTAGTAGTAGTAGCAGCAGCAGCAGCAGCACTTGCTCTCTTCTGAATTCTGTGGATATCAGGTATGCATGTGGTACAAACACATGCAAGGCAAAACACTCAGAGACATAAAATAACTCTTAAAAAATTTCAAATTTACACAGGATTTTATGAATGAATCGTTTTATCCTGTGTATCCACATATATACACTACACCCTTGTTAATCATCTCAGTATGACAATTATCTGTCCCAGTATCCCAGTACTTGTGACTAAATAGTCTTTTACTTAACAACAATACCAAAGCACAAGAGAGTGATACACAGAGGGTATCATGACATCAAAGAACAGATTAACTCTGATACTAAAGGGCGATGCAGGAGAAGATACAGGCAAAACCAGTATCCGGCATACAGGGTTTGGCTCTCCTGGTTTAAGGCATCCACGAGGTGGTTTAGAAGCACCTCTCTGGATTAAGGAAAACTACTATACTCCATGTCTTGAGCCATCAAAACAAAAACAAAAATACAGTCGCTTGTTTTATTGCTTTTCTTAATTTTGGGTATCTTACAGTTAATTGGAGTGTCTCTTTAAAAATCAGTGCTATTCCTTGGGTTAATTGCAGCATTTCACTTTTTCTTGCTATAAAATTGATTAACCGAAAGAAACCCAGTGGAATTTCAGAGCAGTAAGGAAACAATACCATTATTAATGTGTGCAGAAATATGTTAATGGCTCTCAGCCACCCTAAAACGTGGTATCTCAAGAGATTCCAATGGGAATGATTTTTTTTTTTTTTGAGTCAGGGTGGGAATGATTTTCCAAAATAGTGTTGTTTAGCTGGTTAATTGCACAACGTACTGAGCAACCTATGAAGACAATGCACAACAGCTCTTAGGATAAGAGGAGGAGACGCCTCTCTCTGATGGTGTTTTCTCCGTTGGTTGAAATGTTGAGATTCTACTTGAGGAAAGGTAGTCTTCAGGCAAAATTGCCCTTTTCAAAGCCTTTGCCAGGGAGTACAGAATACTGCTGGGCTGCTTAGTTTTATGTCACTTTCATACAAGCTCAAGTCATCTGAGAAGAGGGAACCTCAATTAAGAAAATGCCTCAGATACACATGCCTGTAAGGCTTTTTCTCAATTAGTGACTGATGGGGGAGGGCCCAGCTCATTGTGGGTGGTGTCATCCCTAGGCTGCTAGTCCTGGCTTCAGTAAGAGAGCAGGCTGAGCAAGCCAGGGGGAACAAGCAAGTAATCAACACTCCTCCATGGCCTCTGCATCAGCTTCTGCCTCCAGGTTCCTGCCCAGTTTGATTTCATGTCCTGACGTCCTTTAATGATGAACAGTGATGTGGAAGTGCAAGCCAACTAAACGCTTTCCTCCCCAAGTTGCTTTCGGTTATGGTGTTTCATCGAAACAACTGAAACCCTAACTAAGGCAACCATCGCACTTCAGAGTCCTGAGCATCAAGCCTAGGGCTGCGGCTAAGTTCTTGCAGCTCTTTCAGAAACCTTGTGTCTGGGTACAGAACCAGGAGCCATTTTCTGTTTTGTCCTAAGATTCCCCCACTAGACACACACTAAGCATAATAAGCTGCGGGCTCCTCCTTGCCAGGCCTCAACCACTACCCCCCTTTTGAGATCTGACCCTGGAATATAGCCAAGCACAAACTGTAAGGTTCCAGATCGTGGGAAGGACCCTTTAAAACTCCCCGGTGCCATCCCTCCTCCTCCATATCCTTCTGGCAGGAGGTTCCCAAGCATCGCCCACCGCCCTGGGCTTTAGGAATACGACTGGGAAGAAGGGGTTCAGCCGGCAAGACCTTGGGGAACCTGCGCGTGGGTACCTATGGTCAGGTCTGCACGCGTGGAAGATCAAAGGCTCGACGTGACCCGTCTAATCTCTCAACATAAAGACATTAAAGAAATAAAACTCTGTCCATACATCTGGGGACACACTCATCAGTGCAGCATCAACCTTTAAATGCATCTCCCCTAAATTAGAAAAACGGAAGTCACTCGCCAACTTTTAGCTAAACTCCAAACTTGGCGAGCGCGCGCGCGGACGGCAAGGGGGGAGACCTGGCGCACCACGACGGGACGGCCCCGGTCTGGATCTGCGTCCCAGGAGGGTCATTGAAGAGGCGGCAGGCGCTTTTCAATGA